TGTCGGGTTCATTCCCATAGTACACCCTCTATTTAGACGGTTAAGTATAGTCGATGCTTGCCTGTTCTTCCTCCAAATTGATCTCCAAATATTATTTGGGATTAGTCTTTCTTTTATTTTTCTTATCTCATTTGTTCATGTTATTGTCGTGATTCTTTTTTCTGAATTAAGAATTAAATTGATCGAGTGAAAGCCAGAGATCGGGGCTAATCAAATTTGGTCCTTTTCTAGCTTTTTATAAGCTTTCTTTAATATCCAAATCTCCTTTTTAAGTTTCTATAAGCTTTCTTTTATATTGTAACACAAACATTTTTTGTTATTATGTATCTCTTGCCGTGTATGTATTTTATCATGCATGATTGTTGATGCTTTAAACGGCTCCTTCTATGCCTAACTCCACCCCTGCATCCCGCCTCTCTTATCTTAAAACCAAACACACTCGTTACTTAGCTTGGAACTAGAAGTGTGCGCCTACTACATGTGCCAATTTACTACGGTGAAAGGATTTACGTGTACGTAGCAATGTACAATAGTGAAAAGTGAGCTATATATATTTCTGTTTGCTAATATAGTTTTGTACTGATGTGACCGAGCGGTACTCCATCCATCCCATTTTAACTGTCGTTCTTGATTCTCAAAAAGTTAAACATACTTAACTTTGATCAAATGTATGCACAAGAAAATATTAATATTTATAAGACATAATTACTATTATTAGATAGATCATTAAATCTATTTTCGTAATAAGCTTATTTGAAGACACATATGTTGCTAATAATTTCTATAAATTTGACCAAACTTAAGAAAGTTTGATTAAACGCTTCCACAGCGACACTTAAATAGGGACACAGGGAGTACCTTGCTAGAATGCTAGATAGGTTTTATGTAAATGTTAATTAATTAGAGATAGATGGAAATAAATGGCTTCGATGCAGGGGGCTTAGACATTCACTCGTGAACCAACAACGAGTTTGAAGAACCAAATGACCATCATATATATTGACCTCTGAAAAGACTACGTAGAAGACAGACAAATTTAAAAGAAAAAAATATGTGCAACAAATAAATTTTACAGCTAGCAGAAAAAAACACACAAAGTAAACAGACAATTCATTTGGCCCAACTCACCGCCCTAGAGTGAGAGTATGTAAAACCTAACATTGACGAGGTGTAGTCTACATTGTACTTGTACGCGTATGAATGAAAAATATTCTACTGTGCAATGGTATGCATATATCCCTCCCGTGTGTGTCCACCATCCACAAAAGCGAAAACTTTATCATTCCTCTCGAGCATCCTTATACCTTGTCTGAATTATCTACTAGTATCTATATTGATCCACATATATTGTTGTAATCAATTTTAGTATTAGCAACTCGAAAAGCCGCTTTATATCCTCTTATATTGTTAGGATAAAGATTTTAGTGAAAAAAAAATCTCTTTGATCAGCTTCTTAACTAGACCTCTAAATATTTTCATCATCTATTCCTAGTTTATCTTCACCAAAGATAGAGAGGGGAGGAGGCTCTCTAAAGTGCCCATCATGGTATAAAAAAGACTAAGTTGCTGGAGAGTAGAGAGACAAAAAAGAGTGATTTAAATATGATAACTCCAAATTTAGATTTAAAAATGTGAGTTTAATAAAGACGGCGAGAGATGTTTTTTAGTCTACAAGTTCATAGTCCCCACAGGTAAAAAAGACGATATTAATATTAACATGATAATGTTTCTTTTCTTTCCCCTTCAAAAACAAGTGTCCATGGCACAATATCTCTCTCTCCCTGAGCGCTCCCCTAGGGCGACTCGGGGGCGATCGCCGCGGCGCCCTTAGCCCCCCCTCCCGGCCCTCCCCTCCGCCCGCCATCGTCGCCCATCGGTGTGTGGCGGCGGCGGCCCGCGGTGGCCCGAAAAAAGGTGCCCGCCGCATCCTCCCCCCCATCTACCTCTCTTCCCCTCCCAATCCTCCACCACCATGGCTTCCCCGGTGCTTCTCCGGCGGGCTCACCGGCCGGCGGCCCAGATCCGGGTTCCTCTAGACCGGATCTGGCCTCCTCCTCGTCGGTGCGACGGCGACGGCTGGACGGTCGGGCCTGAGCGGCGGCTTCTCCGACGAGTTGGTGCGGCCGGCCTGGCGGCAGATCTGGGCCCCCCGTGTGCGGATCCGGCGCCGGCTGCTCCAGTGGCGCGGATCCGACGCCTGCTGCTGCCGTCCAGCGGGGTCCTCGGCATGGGCGGCCTCTGGGGCCTCTCAAACCGCGCCGGGCCCCTGTAGCCGCTTCTATGGGGCACCGGTGGACACGGCCGTCGCCAGGGCCGCGCTCGACTGGCGGCCAGTTCCAGGGTCGCCACCGGCCTGGCATGCTAGCGTCCACACCGCGGGGGCCTCCGGTCACGGGGCTGGCGGCCGCCGTTAGGTGACGCGCTGTCACCAGATCCAGCTGCCGCTGCTCGCCCTGAGCCCGGATCCGCGCAGTGTCGGCGTCTGTGCCGCGGCTATCACCGGCCACGGGGCCGGACGAGACGCGGGGTGCTTCGGCGGCGGCGCCGCTGCCCGCGCGGCCGGCGGGGATTGGCGCTCAGCTGCGTGGTGCTGGCCGCGCGTGTCTCCATTGCCGTGCTCAGCTATGTCGCTTACGGGCGCCGTCGGCTGGCGCTGGCCGACCCGTCCACGGCTGCCTGGAATCTCATGAGGTCTGCTGCGAATCCAGTGAGGGTTGCGGTGCTAGTGGAGCAGCAAGGGGCGGACGAGAGTTCGTTGCTCGCCGGCCACGAAGCACCTTGGCACAGTGGCGACCCCCTCCCACGAACCACGGTGTGCGCCCCCCTCCCACGAACCACAGTGTCGACTAACGTGCTTGGGTGTCTACCCTGCCCGGCTTCTTGCTCCGGGCCAGCGGCGGTGGCGCAATCTGCGTCATTTTCCTTCCTGAAGGCGTCGTTGAAGCCTGTCTGCACCATTCGGGTCGTTGGGGCAGGCTCCTGCCTGTGCTTCTCCGAACGCTGTTGGCATCCGCGGATGTCATCCCCTTCTTGAAGGCTTCGTTTGGGGCACTCTAGCTGCCACAACTCTCTTATCGCGCATCGATCGTCGGTGTTGCTGCCGGCTCTGCCGTGCCTATCTGTGCTTCGTCTCTTTCTTCGCATTGGGTTGTCCTTCGATGTATGTTGTTGCCGCTGTCGTTTGATTCGTTGGCGGATGCTTTGCCGCTGTTGCTGCTTGGGTGGATGCTTGGCCACCTCGTCGCTTAGGTCTCCACGCTCATTCTGCTGCAGAGTGTGTGATGGACCCCATTATGAATGCTTTGCCGTAATGGTCCTTTTCCGGCGGATGCTTGGCCGTCGTGGTCGTTTCTCGTGCGGATGCTTTGCCGCTGTTGTCGTGCCGGCTCCCTTGGCTTCTTTGGTGGATGCTGGCTATCGCGGCTACACTACACCTTAGGCTACCAATGTGTTCTTGTCTTCCTCTGATAGGCTCAGTCTGTAAGGATTTTGTTGGTGCCTCCCCAACCGTGTTTTCTTGCTGTATCGTTTGTGCTTGTGGGATTGAGCTGGTAATTCTGGGATTACAGGCAAGTCCTTTGTTGTTTGGTTCGGTGTTGTCTACTTTCTCTTAATGAAATACGTGCTAGCACGTTCGAGAAAAAAATATTAACATGATAGCGGTTTACATTACTTTTTTCTTACGTTTTTATAGGAATAGTGCAGTCAAGTTTAATAAGACTATTATGGCAGTACCACCCAAAATGCTAAGTATTTCTAAATTCTAAATACACATGGATCGGATTCATCCTCAAGAATCAAGATGCACCATTATACCCATTTTGTTAAGCTCTATAAACAGGATATGAAAAACGTTGCTTTCTTGGGGCCTGTTTAGATGGCGAAAAATTTAGCAAAATGACACTGTAGTAGTTTTCGTTGTTATTTGATAATTAGTGTATAATCATAGTCTAATTAACCTTAAAAGATTCGTCTCGTGGATTTCGTCTAAATTGTGTAATTAGTTTTATTTTTTATTTATATTTAATACTTCCTGCATGCGTTAAAGATTCGATGTGATGGAGAATCTTGAAAATTTTGGTATTTTGGGAGGAAATTAACGGTACCTTGGTTTCAATTGACCGAATGCTCTGGCAAACCGCAAACTGACAATGGTGCTTTTTTTTTTTGGATACAACTGAAAATGGTGCTACAGAAGCACAGAACAGTAGATTCGCCATGCCCGTAGTTCGGTAGTTGCTTAACGAGAGCGGCAAATACAGCTATGCCTGGTGGAGTTGCAATGGCCTCAACCTCCGTGTTCCCACTCACACGTGACATCTCCACCGTCATTGCTGGAACCAGTTCGGCTACGCGGCTACGCCGATACGTCGGCCCTGGCCGACCACCTGTGGCCGCTCCGCGGCGCCGTCCAAGCCCCGTGCCCAAACATCTGGGCCTCTGGGGTCTGAAAGAAGTGAAGAACCGTCACTGTCGGCGATGCAACGAACGACATGGATGGTGCCTTGGTGGGCAGTGAGCTCCTGGGCAGCTGCCTCGTCTCCAGCTTGAGTCAGATTCCTGCTCGTTTCTGCTTGCGCCTCCGTGTCCGTTGAGTTGTCCCGCCCCCGCCAGGCGCCCAGGCCTTTCGCCGCGACGTCTACGCGTCGTTCCCCCGCTTCCTTTCTTCCAAAGTCTTCTCGTCTTATCGGCTCGCGGGGATCCGCTGCCACCGCCATCTCCGCATCCACACCTGTGCCAGTGGCGAACGTCAGCCGCGTGTGCTTGGGTTTGAGCAACCGTCGCAGGTTCGCGGCACCAGCCCAGCTGATGGGCAGAAGATCTCCGCGTCGCGTCCCTGAGGGCCACAGCCCACAGCCAATCAACCGTCGCCTTCACCACTTCGCTCTTTCCGTATTAAAATCCCACCCGTCCCGTTTCCGCTTCCCCACTTCCCCTCGCTCGATTCGATCCCCGGAGAAGAGCAAGCTAGCGCAACCGACCAGCTACGCAACGCAACCATGGCTTCCGCTTCCTCGAATGCCAAGCAGAGCCTCTACCCGGATGTGGACCAGTCCCACCCTGATCTCAACACCCCCTTCTTCTCCGCGCCCACCACCTCCACCGGCGCCGGCACCGCCACGGGCAGCTCCCTCTACCCCACCGTCGACCCCAACGAGCTCGCGGAGAACCTTTTCCCCGAGACGGCCGAAGAGGACACCGCGCCGCCGCCGCAGACCACAGAGGAGACCATAGTCGCCGTCCCCGGCGCGCAGCTCCACCTCGTCGACCCCGACCGCAGCCTCGACCTCGGCGCTGGCACGCTCTCCATCGTGCGCCTCCGCCAGGGGGACCACTCCGTCGCCGTCCTCGCGCGCCTGATCCCCAAGAAGCCCCACCACCGCCGCGGCCTCTTCCGCCTGTTTAGCAGCGGGCGGTCTGACGGTGGCGCTGAGCAGGAGCAAGTCCAGTGGCCGCTCACCCGCGATGTCGCCGCGGTCAAGCTCGACCCCGCGCACTACTTCTTCTCGCTCCATGTCCCGCACACGGACCACCCGGACGACAAGGATGACGCGGAGGATGCCGAGGCGGACGCGGAGGCGGCGCTGAGCTACGGCCTCACGGTCGTTGGGAAGGGGCAGGAGAAAGTATTGGAGGAGCTGGACAGGGTCCTCGAGGAGTACACCACCTTCTCGGTGAAGCAGGTGGAGGCGGCGGCGAAGGAGAAGTCGGAGATCATGGACGCGAGGGCCGTGGCCGAGATCACTCCGGAGGAAGCTGTCGGGGATAAGAAGGAGATCGTTGAGGAGAAGTCTGCGGCGTTCTGGACGACAATCGCGCCGAACGTCGACGATTACAGCTCGTCGGTGGCGCGGCTGATCGCGCGGGGCTCGGGGCAGCTAGTGAGGGGCATCATCTGGTGCGGCGACATCACGGCGGAGGGACTGCGGCGTGGGGAAGAGGTGGTGAAGAAGAGCGTGGGGCCCAGCGCGAAGCCGACGCAGGTGAAGCCCAGCACTCTCAGAAGGATGAAGAGGTAGGATGGTGAACAACTGAACATCTACTACTACTCGCATTTATTATTGCTACTGTAACTGTTAATTTCGTTATGGGTCGGTTGCTCCAAAAATTAGATGATTTACAGATGGATAGAAAATATATTTATCGCGAATTACCCAGTTAATTTAGAATGTGATCGTTCCTGTTGGATTGCAGTATTTTAGTATATACTAATCATAGATAGGAGTCAATTGCCGTGCTACATCTACTACTACTCGCATTTATTATTGCTACTGTAACTGTTAATTTCGTTATGGGTCGGTTGCTCCAAAAATTAGATGATTTACAGATGGATAGGAAATATATTTATCGCGAATTACCCAGTTAATTTAGAATGTGATCGTTCCTGTTGGATTGCAGTATTTTATATACTAATCATAGATAGGAGTTAATTGCCGTGCTATTAATCTTGTATGTTGTGGTAGCTCGTAGAATCAGACAACTTACAGATAGCTCTTACATAGTAGCAGCAGCAACAACATAGCCTCTCAGTCTAAGCAACTTAGGGTAGACTAGAGTTGAAACCTACCAAAAACCCCAAGTTACGGTTCAGGCACTTTAATATCTGTTTTCTAAGTACTCCTATTCAAACATAGATCTTTAGGTATATCCCAATTTTTCAAATCTTTTTTTATTGTCTCCCTCATGTCAATTTCGGTCTTCCTCTACCTCTCCTCATATTTTTAGTTTGGCTTAGGACTCCACCATGCACTAGTGTCTCTGGAGGTCTCTTTTGGACATGGTCAAACCACCTCAACCGATGTTGGACAAGCTTTTCTTTAATTGGTGCTACCTCTAGGCGATCACGTATATCATCATTTCGAACTCGGTCCATTCTTGTGTGACCGCAAATCCATCGCAACATACGCATTTCTGCAATACTCAGTTGTTGAACATGTCGAATCTTTGTAGACCAACATTCTGCTCCATACAACATAGCCGGTCTAATCGCCGTTCTATATAACTTGCCTTTTAGCTTTTGTGATATCCTCTTATCACAGAGAATACTAGAAGTTTGTCGCCACTTGATCCACCCTACTTTGATTCTATGGCTAACGTCCGCATCAATATCTCTATCCCTCTGTAGCATCGATCCCAGATACTGAAAGGTATCCTTCTTAGGCACTACTTGACCGTCCAAACTCACATCTCCCTCCTCCTGTACAACTCCACCAAAGTCGCATCTCATGTATTCGGTTTTAGTTCTGCTCAATCTAAAACCTTTAGACTCAACTGTCTGCCGTTATAACTCTACCTATTTACTCCAGCCTGGCTTTCGTCCATTAACACTACATCATCAGCGAACAACATACACAAAGGGATATCCCCTTGTTTGTTCCTGGTAACCTCATCCATTACCAAGGCAAAGAGATACGGGCCCCCTTGATGAAGTTCAATTTTAATTGGGAAGTAATCTGTGTTACCATCGTTTGTTCGAACACTAGTCACAACATTGTTGTACATGTCCTTAATGAGGGTCACGTACTTTGATGGGACTTTATGTTTGTCCAAAGACCACCACAAAACATTTCTTTGTATTTTGTCATAAGCCTTCTCCAAGTCAATGAAAATCAAGTGGAGGTCCTTCTTCTGTTCTCTAAACCACTCCTTAACCTGTCTTATTAAGAAGATTGCTTCTGTGGTTGACCTTCCGGGCATGAAACCAAATTTGTTTGTTGATATCTGCGTCGTTCCTCGCAGGCGCTGCTCGATGACTCTCTCCCATAATTTCATAGTGTGGCTCATCAACTTAATTCCCCGATAATTAGTACAACTTTGGATATCTCCTTTGTTCTTATAGATTGGTACCAATATGCTTCTTCTCCACTCCTCGGGTATCTTGTTCGATCGAAAGATATTGTTGAACATATTGGTTAGCCATACTATAGCTATATCCCCGAGACATCTCCACGCTTTGATTGGGATACCATCAGGGCCCATCGCTTTGCCCCCTTTCATCCTTTTCAAGGCTTCTCTGACATTCGATTCTTGAATTTTCCGTACAAAGCGCCTGTTAGTGTCATCAAACGAGTCGTCCAGCTGAATGGTGATGTTCTCGTTCTCACCATTGAACAATTTATCAAAATACTCTTGCCATCTATGTCTGATCTCATCCTCCTTTACCAAGAGCTGCTCCCTCTCATCCTTTATGCACTTGACTTGGTTGAAGTCCCTTGTCTTCCTATCGCGAGCCCTAGTCATCCTATAAATGTCCTTCTCTCCTTCCTTCGTACTCAAACGTCGGTAAAGGTCCTCATAGGCCCGCCCCTTTGTCTCACCGCTCGTTTTGCAGTCTTCTTTGCCACCTTGTACTTCTCTATGTTGTTTGCACACCTGTCATGATACAAACGCTTATAGCACTCCTTTTCCTTAATAGCCTTTTGCACATCTTCATTCCACCACCAAGTGTCTTTCGAGTCGCATCCGCTCCCTTTGGTCACTCCAAGCACCTCTGAAGCAACCTTCCGAACACATGTTGCCATCTTCTCCCACATGCTGTTTGCATCGCTTTCATCATTCCAAGGGCCCTGTTCAATAACCTGTTCCTTAAAGACCTTTGATGCCTCCCCTTATAATTTCCACCACTTCGTTCTAGCAACCCTAGCTTATTTGTTCCCACGAGCTTGCACCAGAAAGCGGAAATAGCAAATGTTTCTTAATTGGAACTCCCTTTGCACCTAGTAAATGTTTCTTAATTGGAACTCCCTTTGCACTTCACGTTTGATAGATGTTTATTTATTAGAGCAAGGGATCTTTTGCTTGAGCAACCATGGTGTTTTTTTTTTCTGAATGCCATCCATCTTTATTAGTTGATTGGTGCGAAATTGACCCTGAACTTAGCCATTGCCTGCTTTACAGTCGCCATCTAGTATGTATTTATCTACATTTATATTTGCATCCTGTTATGAAGGCACCTTGCATCTCTTGATAATGACTGCCACTGATATTTTCCTGACTGATGTAGTGATGTTACCTTATGATGGTAATGAAAAATGTTAGCAAAGATTTGTGAGAGAGATGCAAATCAGGGTTCTTTTTTTTTTTGGATCATCTATCTAGTGTTCTAGAATCTAGATTATGCAGTTCTCCTGTGTGTCTGGGAACTAGTGTGCTAGATCGCCAATCTGTTTAGTCAAGTATGCCACTTGTTATCAACCATGCGTACGTAGAAGTTTTACAGCACAAACTGTTATTCATATCCCCTTTCGGTTGGGTGGCGCCCATTGCTATCAAATTAATGTATGATAATCAATTTTGTCCCTCTTCCTGCTGCTTATGGTTTTCTGTCTTTTTTCTTAGGGCTAGGAGGGTTACAAAGATGTCCAACAGGGTGGCAAACTCAATCCTGTCTGGTGTTCTGAAGGTCACTGGCTTTGTCACAAGCGCCGTGTTGAACTCCAAACCAGCACAAAAGTTTTTCAAGTTAATGCCTGGCGAAGTTATTCTTGCTTCACTTGATGGATTTGGTATGTCTGCTTTACAGTTCTTAATGATTTGCTTGAGAAATATAGGTTCATTTGGGCTAGTTTATATATGCTTCTAGGGTGATTGAATCTATATGATAGGTTTGTAAAACTAGCAGATATAACTGACTTCATAATATGGCTTCAGATTCTACCCACTTCACAATGTTTTACTTTTGCAGCATGTCTGCATTGCATGTTATGTATGATTGATTGATCGGTTGATTTACCCCTTATTCAATGATATTACAGGGAAAGTATGGGATGCTGTAGAAGTGTCTGGCAAGAATGTGATGCAGACATCATCAGTTGTGACAACTTCTGTTGTAACACACAGGTAACATACAATGCAATGGATACTTCGCTGAATCATCTGCTTTGTATTATTTTTGGGGATCTGCAGTAACAAGTTTTTGGTTAGGAGTCCTCCATTTTTCCAAACTATGTAAATGTAACTCTATTTTTTTTGGTTGGGAAACTCTCCATGCCATCTTCTACAAACATTGGCATTTTAGCAGCAAAGTCCATATGGTGTATCATATAAGAATGAAACAGGACAGTTTTTTAGATCAAATTCAAATAATAAGAATCTCAATAATCATCAGAGATTAGAACTACAAGAGATCCAAGAAAATTTGTTCTTTTAGAAAAATGGCAATGAACTAGGAAGTACTGCTCTTACGAGATAACGACATGCCGGGAATGTTCCTTCTGTTTCTTTAGAAAACCTTTGTTTCGTAACATGATTTTGCAACCATTTTTGCGTAGAAATGGCTCTTGTCTGGTTGTCACCTGGCTATTAGTCAATGATGGCTATTAGTCAATGAAAAACTAACTTCCAGTGAACTATATGGTTGATACTAGAAGAGGCTAATGGTTCGATTGATGCAGATACGGTGAGCAAGCAGGGGAAGCCACACACGATTACCTCCACGCTACAGGGAATGCTCTCGGAGCTGCGTGGGCTGTATTCAAGATTAGGAAAGCACTCGACCCTAAGGGTAATTTGAAGAAGTCATCTTTTGTCAGCCAAGCAGCGCACACTGTAGCTAAAGAATCAATTGCGAGGCAAAAGAAGAAGTGAGCTGGCCTGGTCGACAGTTCCATTATGCCTGTAATTTAATCTGTTGCTGTTGGCAATAGGAGCTAGGAAGCTAGATCTTGTGAGTTTGTGACTGGTGTCATGAGATTTTGTTCTCTTCTTTCCTTCGTTTTTGGGCTGTGTTCATTTTGTTGTGCAGTGTTGTTCTACATACGTGTAAAATTCATACGTTTGGTTTGTGGCACGACAATTTCTTAATTCCACCTGTGCATTCCATGAGCTCTTTGAAAGTAGGTTGTGTTACATCATGTTGCTTCGTGCCTTCGTTTCTTTCTTCTCGGTTATCGGTGACTGGGGGCCGGGCAGCGTCGCACTCGGGCCGCGGATGCCCACTTGCCCACAGCTTCCTGGGGCACGCGGCGGGCCGGGCCCCTGTCACAGCGGCGCACATAGATCAAAGTTGCTGCCCGCGCGCGCGGCGCTTGCACGGCTGCACCAGATCCGATGCACGCATCGCGGAGCCTCCTGCCCACGTCCGGCGAGTCCCTCCGCCTCGTGGCCGCCTGCCGCGCACCCGCCCACCTCCCATCCCTGCACGCCGCACACGCGCGCCTCCTCGTGCTGCTCCACCCTTCCCACCCATCCGCCGCACACGCTAGCGTCAAGCTCATCCAAGCCTACGCCGCCTGCTCCGCGCTCCCCTTGGCACACGCCGTGCTCGAGTCGTCGTCCTCCTCCCCCGACGGCAGCAACAGGACCACCACCGTCTGCTTCAACGTACTCATTCGCACGCTCACCGCCGCCTCCCTCCACCGCGATGCGCTCGTCCTCTTCGCCTCCATGCGGCCACGGGGCCCCGCCTGCTTCCCCGACCACTACACCTACCCGCTCGCGCTCAAGTCGTGCGCGGCGTCGAACGATCTCCTCCTCGGCCTCCAAATCCACTCCGCCGTCGCCAAGCTCCGCCTCGACGCGAACGTCTACGTGGCGCACTCCGCGATCAGCATGTACGCGCGGTGCGGCCGCCCGGAAGACGCGTACAGGGTGTTCGACGGAATGCAGCACCGGGATGTCGTCTCCTGGAACGCCATGATCGCCGGGTTCGCGCGCGCGGCTCTGTTCGACCGTGCTATTGTGGTTTTCAAGCAGTTTGTGGTGCTGCAGGGTTCAATGCCGGATGCTGGCACCATGGCAGGCATCTTGCCGGCTATGGGGAATGCCAGGTCAGATGACATTGCGTTTGTGAGGGGTGTGTTTGACCATATGCAGTTTAAGGAACTTATCTCTTGGAATGCTATGCTCGCTGTGTATGCTAACAATGGATATCATGTTAAGGCAGTTGAACTGTTCATGCTGATGGAAAAGGACGAGGTTGAGCCAGATTCAGTGACTCTGGCAACTGTTCTTCCTCCATGTGGGGAGCTCTCAGCATTTTCAGTGGGAAAACGGATCCATGAGATTATCAAGAGGAAAAATATGTGCCCTAACTTGTTGCTTGAAAATGCTCTCATGGACATGTATGCAAGCTGTGGATGTTTGAAGGATGCTAGGGAGGTCTTTGATTCCATGAGTGCACGGGATGTGATATCATGGACTTCAATCATATCTGCTTATGGAAAGCATGGTCATGGAAGAGAGGCTGTTGATCTTTTTGAGAAGATGCTAGGACAGGGGCTGGAACCAGACTCTATTGCCTTTGTTGCTGTTCTGGCAGCATGCAGCCATGCTGGCCTTTTGGATGATGGAAAATGCTACTTTGATTCCATGACTTCCAGGTATCATATCACTCCAAAAGCAGAGCACTATACTTGCATGGTGTACCTTCTCGGCCGTGCTGGATGTATAAGCGAGGCGTATGATTTCATCACAACAATGCTGGTCGAGCCAAATGAAAGAGTCTGGGGAGCCTTATTACAAGCTTGTCGAATTCACTCTAATATGGACATTGGACTCGTGGCAGCAGACAATCTGTTCAGATTGGTACCTGAACAAACAGGATACTATGTTCTGTTATCTAATATGTATGTTAGGGCTGGGAGATGGGCAGATGTTACCTCGGTGAGAAGTGTCATGGTGGATAAGGGTATCAAGAAATTTCCTGGTACTAGCATTGTCGAGCTAGGGGATCGGGTTCACACATTTCATATTGGTGATAGATGTCACCCACAATCTGAAATTATCTATCAGAAACTGGATGAGCTACTGGGCAAAATAAGGAGAATGGGTTATAACCCAGAGGTAGAGGCTACACTCCATGATGTTGAAGAAGAAGACAAGGAGGGTCATCTTTCTGTTCACAGCGAGAAATTGGCGATTGCATTTCTCCTTTTGAACACTAGTCCAGGGACAATTATCAGGGTGACTATGAATCTCAGAACCTGTAGTGACTGCCATCTTACTGCAAAGCTGATTTCGGTAATCACCAGTAGAGAGATTATCCTCAAAGACACCAATAGGATCCATCATATAGTAAGAGGAGTTTGTTCATGTGGGGATTATTGGTAGAGGATGTAAAATTGTCATATACTGCATTGATTGAAGCATGGCTGCTTGGAGAGAAAGGATTTTTGCTCTTTTAAGCATGAAGCTTGAATCCACCTTTCCTCAACTTGTGTCCTTCGATTGAATGGATGGTAGTTTTCTGGATAACATTTGTAACAGAAATTCAGCATCCATGGTCAGCTGCAGAATAAAGAAGAGAATGAGACCTGTCTATGCTTGAGCATTTGATTTCTTTGTCCAGTATTCGCGCTCTTTTGTTCAACAAAATCAATCTAACAGAAAGACTATTAGAGATGCGGCACTAAGCGATACAAGAACATTCAGCATTCATCTGCTCTTGATGATAATTTTTATGCCATTTTCCAACTGAACAAGAACCAATGGAACTATGGAACAGAGATGTTCTGGGGCATGCAAGAGATCTTAGGAGTAACAGTTACTGAAACTATAACCTCATGATCAATGTTCTGAAGTTACTGGACTTTGTCAGTTGAGCTTGCTAAGCAGGTCTATATTAATAATGCATCCAATTAGATAGTCAAGGAAGGCAAGCAGTATTATGAGCGGAGAGAAAAATCTATCATGATGTCTGCTGCAGAAATCTGAGGCATGTGCTTCTCTTTCTCTCCCTACTTTCTTGTTATGACTGCAAAAAAAATTTAACCTAACACTCACGGTTCCTTGATCATGACTTCATGTCAGTTTGCCATTTGAGCTTAATTTTTCTCATTCCATGATGAAGGACAAACGAATCAAACCATAGCTTTTTAGTCCTTTTAGCATGTGAATCTAGATAAATTTGCAGAAATCCTGTTCACTGTTCACATGATAAAAATGCATGAAATATGTGCTTATTTGAACTTTTCAGTGAGATGTTTCCAAGAAGTGGAAAAAAATTTGCCTGTATCATACTTTCTGTAAGAAGGGCGGGCTTGGTGCAAGCGGTATAGTCTTACCGCCTGTGACCGGAAGGTCCCGGGTTCGAGTCGCGGTCTCCTCACATTGCACAGGCGAGGGTAAGCTTTGCCACTGACATGGGAGCTCTGTGCACTGGGTACGCCTCTTTTTATCATACTTTCTGTGATCATCCATGTATATGTTTTTGCTAAACTGCATGTAGTGATGAAATAGAGTATGAAGTCTCCATAAGCTAAAAAAAAGGCACATGAAAAATGTGGTTTGTATCAGGCCAACAAATGAAGTTAATGTGGGGTTTAGGTGGCAATGTTTCTTCTTGCTCAGAGAGTATACAGGTTAAAACTACAAGGAGAAGATTATTAAGTGTTAAGCTTAATTATTTGTTCCATCATAATAATTGAAAAAACTAAAGCTCAATTGCTCCAAGGATGCAGATCTCATCCTGCCTAAGCCCAAGAAGAGTGTGGATTTGTCAAAAACCGTGTCTTGCTCCAGGATCTCAGCTCCGCTTTGCATGGGACTCATCGGCTGGGAGGAAGGCAGACGACAGCCTCATCCTGGTGATTGGGAAATCTGGAAAGAGCACAATCGAATAATTTTCGTATGGAAGGAAGAAGGACCTGCTATTGCACATTTGCGCTTGCACTGATCTTCACCAAGGTCGCTCCGGAGAGAAGTGGCAGAAGCCACCTTGCTTTGCTGATAATTTAGTTTTTCAGTGGCCGGCACTGAAATGTAAACTAAGGAAACTATAAATTAAAAAAAAAACTATACTTTCCTTCCATCTCAGTGAAATGTAGTAGCCCCGCCTCTATTCTTTTAAGAAATGGGAACAACATATAAAACAGGGATCCAATATTGAGGCGCTTCATCAGTCGTCATCAGTAAGAAATGGGAACCATCCGTGTTGAGATGTTGATACACCTTTGTTTCATCATCTATGTTCTACTACAGTGTATCCAGTGTTTATTTCACAGCCAGTATTAACTTATCAAGAATGTTTTATAAGCAAAACTTATCCAGAATTCTAGGATACAAAGAAAGTATGCACTGCCAAACCACAGTAATAGTACAATATTTGAACGACTGAACATGACATTTTCTGTCTGTTACATACTCACTCTGTTTGAAATATAAGGTATCAAATATTTAAAATTTGACCCAAATTATAAGGTATTCTGGATTGCTCAACCCCATCTATACGTGTCTGCCTTTTAAACCCCATCTATACATGTCTTTTGAACCCTTACCCAAAATGTTGGTAGTCAAGATCAATGACATGTATACCTGACTTTTTAAACTATACCTTATGCTAGGAAAACTATTGAAATCTTCTATCTGCTTCAGAAATCCAACGCATGCACTTCTGTTTTCTCTCTCTATTTTCATTTTTTCTGAAAAAAAACTCTTGTGCTCATTTAAATTTGAGGTTTTCATGATTGGCAATTACTAGTTTATTTAAGGCTCCGAGTTCATGCCTGTCGAAATCATGCTAGCTTACGAATGTAGCTTAATTTTGCATTCCTTGATTAGGTACAAAAAATGGGCAAAACACATGTTTTCAGTGCTTTGTATGTTCAGGAAACTTATGAAATCCTGTTCCAATGTACTATTATTTATGCGAAATAAACATTTTTATTTCATTTTCAGCTAGAGGTTCCCAAAGTGGAAATTGTGGCATCCTATATTATACATTCTGTGACCATCCATGTACACGAAATATACATGTATTTAAGTCACCATCATTTGTCATCTGCTTAATTGTGTTGTATATATAGGCACATGTTGGTGCATTCTCTATTTTCTGGACAAGACTCATGCCGTGGTTAGTTTCTTTCACTAAAAGAGAAAACAGAGACTGGCCTGTGACGCAACTGCTTGAGCCGTGAAGGTTAGCTTGCTAGGATACAACAGTGGGGTCAAAGAAGGCCAAGCAAGCAATTGTATGATATTGCTGCAGATTATTGAAGGCTTTTGGGGAAAGATAGGAATAAGTACGGACGGCTCCAATTATTGAACTAAAATTTGAACACCTGCATCTTTACCCAAATGAAATTATGAGATCAAGATGGCTTTTTATCTAAAAATATTAGGGAAGGAATTGAGCATGGTACTGTTGCCTTGTCAGCTCCCACTTGCCCTTGTTCTATGTTGTAGGCTTGTAGCCACTAAATAACACTATACTTAGGATCTTTTATTGCTGTCTGCTTTGTTTTATCTGCTTCTTCGGTGCATCATGGCCTTTCCATCTCAACAAATTTCCAAACCTACTTTTTGGCCTTGTTTGGATGCATATCCACCTCAATCCACATGTGTTGGAGTGGAATGAAATAGAATTTAGTTTAATTTCACTCCAATCCACTTCAAACACACGTGGATTGAGATGAATACATGCGCATTTAAACAAGTCCTTCACTGGATATATATACCGCACTAGAAACTGTGAGTGCAACAATGCCAACTTTGTAACTTTCTAAAAAAATATATGTGGAAGATAAGTTATGCCACGGTGCAGAAAAAGGCAGTCAAATCAAATAAGTCCCAACGTGGGAGTTTTGTTGGATCGCATTTGGCCCGCACAGTCAACTCCATGATAACTCGATGTCAAAAGGATAGGTGAAATTTCTGCCTGACGAACGCTACTTCACTATCACCAGTTAGTGCTGCACACCGTGCACGGCACGTTCAAACGTTCTTATAAACGCGCTTCTAGTACTACATTATATACCTACTGAATGTCTGAATATATATGAACCATAAACTCGCCATCTTCATTTTTCTATCAGACTAGGAGACGCTGCACTATTAGGAACTCATCCAAGCGGACACCAGACGACGATGTCGCATGGGACGACGCAATCCATCGTGTTCGTGTACATTTTATACCTACTGCTCTCATCCTTATCCCCATGTCTCCTGTTCCAGCAACTCGTCGTAGGGATGACGCTGCAAGCTCAGCAGACAGCCCTCCTGAACTGGAAGGGCACTCTTGGAAGCTCGCCGGCACTCATATCTTGGCAGCAGCGAGTCCACCCCTGCAACTGGACAGGGATCATGTGCAACCACGAAAGCGTGGCTGTGACGGGCATCTCCCTGTCAAGTGCAGGCCTGGATGGCAACCTTGATGGGCTCAGCTTCTCCGCACTCCCATTTCTGGACTACATCGACCTCAGCTTCAACTATCTTCATGGGGAAATCCCCGCAGGCATAAGCTCTCTAGCACTGCTCTCGTACCTTGACTTCACCAGCAATAGGATGTCAGGAAATATACCGTACAACATCGGCAATCTGCAGAGCCTCACTGCGCCGGGGCTCTCTATGAACAACCTCACAGGTCAGATTCCAGTATCCCTGGTTAATTTAACCAAGCTCACCCAACTTGTTATCCACGAGACCATGGTTTCCGGGCGGATTCCAGAGGAGACAGGGAAGCTCTCCAATCTAAAGCTTCTGCAGCTAAGCAGCAGTTGCTCTGGGGGCGGATCCTTAACTGGCCACATACCTCCCAGTGCTGGAAACTTGACCAAGCTCAACTCCTTGCAGCTATACGAAGGATACCAGTGTTGCTCATTTGCCATGGAAAAATGTTAGAAAAACACCAAACATACCGTGTCCCATTTGAGAAAAATGGTCATCACATAGGGGAAAACGTGGTCCGCTAGAGCTGTAGGACCGAAAGACACTGCCGCGAGGTCCAAAATCATATTGATCACGACCTAAATCACGCCGGGCACGACCACCGCGTGGTCTCGCAACCTGAGGCCTAGCACCTTGAGGCATTGCACCTCTAGGCCTAGCACTGCGCCTCCGAACAAGTGGCACATGTACGCCATGGGACGGGCAGTACATGTTCCGGTTGTTCAACTCGTACTCTCGCCGCTCATCTCTCTTCCTCCTAAAGCATAATTCAGCAAGGTGACCATCCCTATGGCAATAGTCACAGTGATACCTCACCTCTCTCTTGGGTGGTTTTTGGTCCACTCTCTTGTGGGTATGGTTCACTCTCGGTGGCTGCTTGGCTTTAGGAAGGGGACCCTCAGAGATGTTTGGTAGAGTGTCAAGTGGGTTCTTAAGATAGCTCGGTT